TATATATATATATATAAAACCAACCACAGAAGGCACTTATGCTTTAGTGCACATGTCAAACTCAAGGCTCACGGGCCAAGTCTGGCCCTCCTTAACATTTTATCCGTACATTATATATTGCTCATTTTAATGCTTAAGAAAGTTATGCTTCTTGTACTCAGTGCAATCCTCTCATGACAGATGGGCAACTTTAAAGCCAAGAAATATACGATGGGATTTTTCAATAATGTGATTTTGATTTGGAACAAGCAACAGAGAACATGAAATGAGACTGATCCAACTCCAGCTGTCATTTGTGTTTCTACAAGCATCATTTGTTAWACTACATTTTAAATTACGATTATTATTTTAATAAATATTGACCAAGATGGCTTGAGCCAAATTTAGAATTTTGGCCCCCTTGTGTAACTAAGTTTGATATGATGGAGTATTACGGCCAAACTGCAAGATTTCTTTTTTTGATTACGAGAATAAAGTCATAATGTTATGAGCAAAAGGTCATTCAAAAATAAAGTCAAAATATTACCAGAATAAAGTCGAATAAATATGAAAACWGTTGTAATTTTACAAGAATAAAGTCATAATTTTACGAGAACTCCAACATGAAAAAGCAGTCTTACCACTGCATTAAAACGAGGAATGTTGAGCATCTTATGAAGTTATGTTTTGATATCTGTTGTATAACTCTATGGATTTATATCATAAATTCAAGCCATATGGCACTGCAATTAACTGCTGCATTACATTAACAGTCACAAACACAGTGGCATGTATTGTATTGGAGGCTGTCCTCAGCAGGTCCAAGCCGACACAGAAATAGAAATCAGACATGTCATTTAATATTTTGACTTCATTTTTATTAAAAAAAAATCTCAACGTGTGGCCCTAATACTCCATCATAGTTTGACACTTCTGCTTTAGTGGAAAAGATGGAGCAAAGATCTGCACCTGCATGGCACTGTTATGTCTGCTCTATCAATAGGCTGTATAAATGTCAGTGTCAGTTACTGAGAAACACACGTATATAACCTGTGCACACCAAGTGTTTTGATAAGGACAAAGAGGACAAAGCGTTTCTACCAGACATTATTTGTGTTAAGGAGCAAGAAGAAAAAGAGCAAACGTGTGTAGGAAGTTTTCAGACTGAAGTTATGTCTACCACAACACCTGCYTCTGCCACGGAAGAAAAACAACGGCCCAACACAAGCTGCAGCGTTTATCTCCAGGCCGCTCGGAGCCAAAGAGCGTGACGGCAGCCTCTTCAGTGTGCGACGCTCCAACACGCAGTAACAAATCTCAGAAAGTAATAGTGACACTTCGTTTTCTTCTTGGCTGAGCCCCTCTCTCTCTCTCGCAGAAAAGTGGAATACTCGGCCTTTCTCGATAACTTTCCTGAAGCATGAGGAGCAAACGGATTACCACGCTTCTGTTGCATCGCTYTAATTGGGCCATGCAGGATTACTGCAGCATGTAGAGCACATATTTATCAGCATCCAGCCACGGCACACCGCCCTTAGTTACACTCCTAATGGGTGATGGGGTAAATATTCATGACAAAGAAGTAACACTCAAACTTCCCAGCTTCTTCATCCTAAAGAAGGAGGGGAAAATAACCTTTTTTCCCCCTCAGAATTAAGGTGATTTTGAGCTTTTGGGAAACCAAACCCATTCCTCCTCCTGATTACACCGGAAAGATCTRTGAGGCAGCCAATTTCAGTGATAATGGCTCCTACAAACTAATGTGACAGAAGGCAAACAGAATCAAGGCCGAGGCAGCGTGAGAAAAGGAAAAAAAGTGCCCTAAATGAGATAAAGGAAAAGAGAGATCCAGGCAATGTTTTGGATTATCTGTGGCAMGAACATTAAATGCACAGATGTGATTCCTTAGCTGTCTTTATTTCAGCTTCATGCTCAGTTTTCACCGCACACACCCATGTTCTCCAGGCTTGTCTCGAAGCTACGTGACAAAACATTACTCTTTCTCCTGCCTCTCCCTGTCCATGGGAAGACTTTATGGCCATGACAGTAAAAACAGCTGTAGCACCAAAAACAAAACAAAAAGTCAARAAGATAAAATTGTGCCACAGCTTAACAGCTCCCCAATGTTTTCAAAGAGGTGGTCATAAATTGTGACGATCGGACAGGACCCTTAACCGTTGGACCCCTGGAGGAAGCTCAGCTGAGCAAAAGCTCGTCAGGAGGGAACAATTCTTTTTTTTATTTACGCACTCGTTCAGCACACCGGCTTGTGCAAATGTGGACAGCAAGTGTGAAATATTTAGCGCCGTAATAAAGGTTATGGGCTGTCAGGAGATAAACACGGAGCACAAAAACAGGAACAATGTTTTTTTTTACAGGTTACAAAGAGGCAAGGCTTTGTGTTGATCCAAAGTGACTGAAAAACTTGATACAGCCCAGATCAACATGTTCTTTCTAGTATTACTGGATYTGAATGTGTTTAACTGGGTGGTAAACCATCTCTATTTGCCCTTATGAAGTCTTTTTACAGTCAAAGATGTCCCCGCCTCCTTTAGAGGGTTAAATGTTGGCGAAGTGTTTTTCTTCACACCGAAGAGAGTCCTGTAATTATCCACCACTGTTGTCTGCTGAAGACATTCAGGCCTGATTCTCTCTTCCACACACACACCAGTGTTCTTTTGTTCTCATAAACCAAACTGCTGGTTTGGCCACCCCTAATGCTCTTATTACCCCTCTCGTGGATTTGTTTTTAGCTCTTTTGTGCACCGTGAGCTTCATCATTGTGAGCGTTTAGGAAAACTTCCAAAAATCTAGTTGATGACGGGTTTTCCACCCTGTTCTTTTAGACAATGATGACTTAGCTCAGTGCGTTCAACTTATAGGCCCTGTGGCTAACCAGCAAACAGAAAACCACAATTACTTTCACTGACACGATGACAACACACAAAAATGAAACCAAAGTCATTAGAGATGGTGTGAACAACACAGGAGGCAAACTCACACAAGCGTTTTTGTTTTTACACAAAATGCTCATGTTTACTGCTCCAACAGCCGACAGACAACCTGTATTTTGCATTATATGATGTTGTGTGCACTGTAAAAAGATAATAGTTGCTCCAACTTCAATCAATTGCTGCAATTGGTAACAAGTAATTAAATTAAGTTTATCTGAGTAAATTTATTAATTTACAAATTTAAGTCAGACTTGTCTAAATCATCTAGTTCTGTTCAAATAAGGATTCAAATCCTGCTGACATAATTTTATGAAAAGTCAACTCAAAGTTTTAAGTTGTTCCAAACTAAAAAACTGAACAATCCAAAAGCGTACTAATATTCAAGTTATATAGAAGTACAACTTGAAGGTAAATCATTTTAAATATGTGTTTTAGCATGTTATTTTAGGTTTTCAAATAGGAGTAAAGTAAAGTACTTTTGTGGTAATCAGAAATTACAGTTGGCTAAAAAGAAAACAAGAAATATCTAATTTTATTATTGTTTTCCCAGCAGATGAAAATCTGTGACTTTTAAGCTAATAGATTTCATAAAAGTACGTTATTATCAGTAAATCTGGTAAATTAAGTGAGRTTATTGTAAAAAGTCCCTAACATAAACTACAGCTCAAATGCTTTTGTGAAACCAATTAATGTTTTTGTTCTAAATTGAGACAAAAAATATGCCAAATTGTGTTTCACATGTTAATTTAATATGGTGTCACGTGGGAAWTTTTTGTCCTCAAGGGATCACCATAAGAAACAGTTGCGCTGATTACAAAAAAAAAAAGGCAAAAAACATATAAAAATAGGGGAAGGAAGGACAGATAAGAGATTGACTCTACAAAATAAAACAGGAAGTGAGCGTCTGAAAAACAAAACCTAAACCTTAATAAAGTTACAGTGCAACCTGTGGATTTTTCAGTAACATAAACAAATGAATTAACTCATAAAAGTAGGAAACGTTTGTGCTACTAACTAAACCTAGGTTGGTGTTAAATTGAAAACATTTTTAGTACAAAAAATGAAAGAAACAATTTCTTCAACAATGGCAAACTTTAGAAACACAGTTTTGATTTTTTTATGAGGACACAACATTTACTTTTTTAGACAGTAAATGCATTTGTTGTGGAGTCTCTAGGAGCGCAGAAAATTTGCATTTAGTTTCTCCCGGTGCTGCATTTTATATTCTGTGTGAGCCATATTTTTCAAACCATTCAATTTGTTATATTTTTTTCCTTTTCTGAACTATTACATCAAATTATTTGCAATGGAATGGCCAAATAAGGTCTGAACTTACCAACTATAATTTTGTATTGGCAAACAGTTGTGTGTTTTCATAAAGGTGCGCCTGAGTGTAAATGTAATAAATGAATGCATGACTGCACCACATGATGAACTGTCTTCTTTGCATCGTTTAAATTTTAACAGAGTCGTAGTGACGCTGACCGGGTGTGTTACTAAAACCTGGGAGACCGTAATGAAAGCTACATCTCAGAGTACATTTGGCCTGACCAGCTGGTCCATCTCTGCGTCTCTGGGCTGAGTCAAATCTCCCATCAGCTGAACACAACCAGTCCCTGCCTGCATGTCTGCGTACGTTTCTGCTCACAAAAGCCAGGAGTATCTGCCGTACAGGACCTCTGGGAGGTCACTTAATGGTTCTGTGGCTATTTGGAGCATTTATAAGCTGCCCTGAACAGAAACCCAGTATCCTGTAAGCATCAAAGCAGCTGTTCACAAGCAGCACAGAGACAAAACTCTGACCCAGAAGTGACTCTTTTTCAACCCCGATTTCACGTTGTTTTCAATGCAGCGACAATCCACTTCATGTTCTTGAATGTCCCCTTTAATGTTTCGAAAGTGCCTTCATTCCTTTTTCTGCTTTAGCGTGTTAAAGGTTCACATGACAACGGGTTGAGATGAGGCCGCGGTGACGGAAACACCTTGGTTTTACAGAATAAGCTGGAACATCGAGGTCACTAAGGGCACGTTCTGGTCCCCTTCCATGGTTGGCGGTTGGGGTGTGGTCTCCTCTTCCCGAAAAGTCCTGCCAATTACTGTCCCCACTGCCAGGGTCATCTGTCTTGTTCGAGCTCATGTCTTTGGTTTTTCTGTCTGCGTTTTGCACTCATACATATATTTATTTTAAATTGAATAAAATAATACAAATTCCCATCAAACTCACAACTCAGTGGAGTATTTTGTCACATTTTTTATATTAAAACGGCAGGAGAAATGACTCTTTCAGCTCAAGGCCTTGACGAATCCTTACGTTCGGTCTGTCTCAGGATGGGTTTGAGGTTTTGCTGTGAACGTGTGGGTGGTGAAAAAAAAAGTCTTCTCAGAAGACAAACATGATAACCTATCATTTTTTTTTAGCCTCAGTTCTCAGCCTCTTGAGACAGATTTGTTTTCAGCAGCGTCACAGAGCGTCTCTAGGAAAGTCTGAAGGTCTCAGAGGGGCCGTGCAGCAAGGCCGAGACTAAATCCTCTTCAAGTTTCCTCTTTTTTGTCAGCTCTGATTCAGCCTCTCATTCAGCCACCTTAGGATGAAGAAAGMTTAGTTTTTCAGCTTCAAAACACCTTCTTGGTTGAAGACGAATGTTTTTTTTTTTTAAATAAATATAAAAGGCAGCTCAGCTCCTCTGACCCTGAAGCCTAATCATGAGGGTTCCCACACCTTGGTCAACATCAAATTCAAGGACTTTCCAGTACCAATTTCCTCAAATTCAAAAACCACGCGTGACCGTAATTACCTACCGCAGAATGTTACCAATAAACAGGTTTAATATCATGTAAATTCAATGAAAAACTGAACAACATAGAAGAAAGTGGATTAAATGTGTACCCTACATTCATGTCCACAATACATGGACATGTAATTATGTACTGGGAGGTTGGGCAGCCCAGTTTGGGAGGAGGGGATGTGAACATGTCCAGAGGCTCGGTGAGAACAGGAATTGTGGTGCTCTCACCTGGACTCAGAAAGACCCGCCCTCCTCTGCTCTGATTGGGTAAAACTATGACTATGGCTCACGTTATTTGTTGAAAGCCACATCAGTTTACCGTAATCCTGAGTAATCCACCACAACAAATGTAAGGTTTTTATTTTATTTTATTATTTTTATAGATGATGAAAATCTGTCGTGTGAGTAGAGAACTTAAAAAAAAACATTCAAGGACTTTCAAGGACAAGTGTAATTTTTGTCCGTTTTCCAAACTTTCCAGGGCCTTGAAATCATTTTTTCCCAATTCACAAACTTTCAAGGATTTCAAGGACCCATGGGAACCCTGTATGACACAAAGTGCTGGAAATTCACAAGAACCAGACTTGTATTTTTTGTGTAACTTTTGTGTTTCTATCACAATTTGTTTTTCTAAAATAGTTTTAATTTGGGTTAAAAATGCAGCATTGCTTTATGGGAAATACGGACACACATCATGTAATTGCCTCTGTGTCTGTTTGATCTCTCAGAAAGTAATATTAGATGCCCAATTTTTGGAATCAATCTATTTTAAAATGGCTGGACCCYTTCGTTATACAAAGTTAAACACAAAAATGACAAGAATACAGCCATTTTTCCAGAATTTGAGCTAAAATTTGGTGTAATCTTTCCCAGCATGGACAAATTAAACATAACCTTTGTTTAAAACTTTGATGTGCAAGGCAGCTGGAGTCATTTATTCCTTATGGAAAGCTACTTTCTCTGCCTTTTTCTGGAAATAGTCTACAATAAAGTACGTTTGTGTTGCAGCAAGGCAATTTACAAAAGAAAAAAAAATCATGAAAATTTAATTTGCTTGTGGAAAAAAAAAAGAAGTATACGGTTACCTACAACTTATTGAATTACTTTGTAGGAAAGCTCGTGTAAGAAAAGACCTTAACCTGAAGTTTGAACCAGCAACAGAGAATAATAGGCTCTCAGTTTTAGTCGTAGTCTTACAGCAGTGAAGGAGTCAGATAACAACTCATGGTCTGTCCTGCTGCTCGGCTGAAACGATGCCTCCTATTTAATGATTCTTACAGATGAATCTTTAAGAATTGAAGTTGTGGCTTTCTCTCACAACGAGCCAAACTTTGAACTCCACGTAAGACCATACAGATAAAATATGAAACCATTACTCAGTCACAGTTTTTTGCTCTGTGCTCCATCAGGTGCATCCTCTTTTGTGAATCCTGCCTCTCATCTGTGCTGGTGGTCGCCGCGTGTTTGCTGCAAACAAAATGCTCGGAAATTTAAGACCAGGAGCCAAAAAATGTTGGGAGCATCTGAGGTCATCTGTTGTGGCTTTTACAGACATTTTCTGTCTGTGCGTCAGATTACATCTACTTAGACCTGCTATTATAAAAAGCTGAAGTCTGGGAGGGAGCTTATGTATTATATGCCTCCAATAAGGGAATTTAAAAAAGCCTACATGCTGTTAAAACATAAAATGCCCTGAAATAATGAATGCATTTGATAGTTTGGAGATTAAATATCTTTTTTTTTCCCAAAAAAAATGTCTTACTTAGCTCATAGTAAAAATGTATCTGCCTTTGTGGGGTTTTATTTATTTTTTTTTTTTTTTGCCAAATTAGATTTTCTAAGCAACTAGTTGCTTTTCATCCAGTCTTCTCAAGCAACAGCTTGTAGAAAATCAGGGGGTTGGCGTTGCAGCCAAGCAGCACAACAGCCAGAGCTCTCACAGAGAGAAAGGGTTGCCAATTCTTTTGCATTTTGTTCAGAAGTTATGGGATCTTTTGAAGCCCTATAATGATGCCTTTGCTGAAGTTATGCTTTGTTTATACACAGCAGGGACTCAGCGAAAATGAGCACAAGCAGCACTTTAAGGCTCACTTAAAAAAACAAAACAGCCCACCTCAAACACTTTCAGAGTTATATGCTTAGATTTCATTTTCTGGATCAAATATACGTAACTGCATAAAGGGAATTTTTGTATAATGTGTTTTACATGTTAATACTTGACTAACAGACGCAGTCTATTACACAGAGGTGGGCATTACGAGGTTTGATCTGAAGCCTTAAGGCAATGTGGGTAACYCTTGCAAAAGAAACTCACTGTATAACCACATATATACTTCACAGATGTACCTGACACCCACCCCAAGCTACAAACAGGAATCGGTTTAGAAAATAAATTCCTATTTTAATTAATTTTCTGCAATACCTCAAAGGACACTGAACAAAGGAATGTAAACTTCTTTACAGATAAAATCTAAATCCATCTGCACTGACAGGACTTATGTCTCCAGACACACACAGAATGTCTACTTCGAAACCTGCAGATTAAAAGCACCTGAAGAACGCAGCACAACCAAAAMGTTTTCAGGTATCTGTATCTCACAGAAATACATATTTAGCCATTTAGTGCACCTTTTCTGAAACATTATACCTCACTGAAAAGACAGCTGTAACTTGTTGGGTAGTGTAATTGTAATTTATGTTCAGTTTCACTCAGAAGCAACAGGTTTAAGAAATCCAAAAGAGTACACTGAACTATGAATGAAACTGTTCAGTCATTTTCTACAGTCTTAAAGTTTCTGGTTCCTTAAATGTCCTACAGCTTCAAGCCCTTTTTTCTTAAGTCTTCTTTAGCTTCTTTGATCTGATCCTGGAGTTCTTTGGCTGCTTCTTCACAGTCATTGAAGGTGGCCACACGGTACCCCACCGTGGCCAGGGAGTAGCAGCCAAACGCCACCAGCAGGTAGACGGGCATCGGCCAGGCGACCTCTCGGTACGTCCGCGGGAGACTCAGGTTCAACAGGTCGAAAGTGACCAAAGCCCAAGCTGCACCTAGCAGCGACACGCCGAACAACCACTGCATCAGTTTCGTCATGGTGGAAAACTTTCGGACGGAGCTTCTTTGCAAACGACCTACGAGAGAACCGTGTTAGCATTGTGACGTAGCAACCGGTTAGCCTGTCGAGCTAAAACACGTCGAAAGAACAAACAAACACAAAGTTGTAATAAGRGAAATAGTCTCACGAAAATAACACACTCGTGAAAAATAAAAAGTGTGTAAAAATAATGTTGTTCGTTACATATTAAATACAAAACAAGCCAGCATGTTTACCTCCTTTCAAAAGCCAACTCAGCTTTGCGCGGATTAATGACGTCGTAAGACGTGATGCATTGTGGGAAATGTAGTGACAATTGCAGCGCTCTGAAAAGTCAACAAATCAGCTTTCATTTCTGTTAGAAACGTCATTGACCATTTTTTTGTAATAATAATAGTACATTTCGATGTATATTTCTTTCAATGTGTGTTTAAGCTAAACCCAAACATACTAAATATTAAAAAAAATGTCATTTTTAGTTTCTATTTTTAATTTTTACATCCATCTTTTTGCATAATTTGCACATTTGTTTGCACATTTCTATGTTCTTAAAAAGTGACAATTGTAGTTTACAGTTTTTGTGTGATTATTTTATTGTGAACCTTGCCCAAGTTGACACATTTTTTGTGTTCATATTTTTGTCACATTTATTTCAGTCTAACTTGTGAAATAAATATGGCACTCARAGGGCTCAACAGATATTTATCAATTTGTTAAATGCCTTACATTGAATCTGTTTGGGGTTTTGTKCACTTGAATGAAGTCTGTGTAAACAAAGTTAAGAAAATTAAATCAGATTTATTTCTTATGAGTGATTTTTATGAAGTAGGCCTACATCAGTATTCAGCTGTGATAAATAAACAMTTATCTGCAGTTCAACTGAGTCATCTATGAGCCTCCCCAGCCAAGCTTTTAACACTTCTAACTCTTTCTCAGGCTCAGTTTACTCATTTAGAAAAGCCATTCTCCAAATTACTGTTGCTAAAAGCTATCTATGTTGAGTGAGGAATCCAACAACAGTTTAATTAGGCTCCACGGGGGGCTCTGCCTTAGTGCTGTGTGGRATGTCTTTTCATTCAGGGCTGTGAACTGACCAGGTGCAGAGGGCACTGATTTCTCCAGGGTGAAATCAGGAGCAGGAGATGTAAACAACATTCATTGAGCTGGGGAGAGGGATACACTAAGCAGCCACTGAGAAATAAACARCATTCTTTAGGGAAAAATTGAGAGTTATTCTTAGGAGGGTGGTGTTTATGTTTGTCTACATTTGTGTTAATATTGTGAGTGACGACCTGTGCGCCTGCTGGAGGAGTGGAGGGTGTGTTTCTTCTGTTTATGGAGACTGTAGAAGGCAAGACTGGAAAATAATCTGTGTGCCATGTGAAGTTTCTGCAAGTGGGAATCAATAAGCCCAGTTTTCTTTGACGAGCATTTACGAGTCGGTCTTTAGATGAATATTGTGCATTTGCTAAAAAGTCTGACCCCAAAGAAAAGCTCATATGAGTCTGCTTCAGCATCACATAAGAACATTGCTTAAGCTTGTATTCATATAAACTTAATCAAGATTTAGGTGATCAAATAAATCTGTGCAGATTGGGTTAAACAGACAACAGCAATCCGTTGTACTGCTCAATTTGGCCGAAATTAAACTCCATCTCCATCTGCAGTCATTTATCCCTAGACGAGTTGCYAAGYCATCAGGTCTAGAGATAGATATCCCTATCCCCAGTGTGGTCCCAGGCCTGAGAAGATCCCTCCTGGGGCCTTCCTAAAGAACATGCCAGATACACCTCTAAAGGGAGGTGCCCAGGAGGCATAATCAGATGCCCAAACCCAATGGACTCCTTTTGAAGCAGAGGTGCAGCGGCTCTACTCCCCCTGGATGACAGAGCTCCTCATCCTATATCTAAGGCTGAGCTCTTTCCTCACCATGACCAACCAAAGCAACGCTCTCATTACTGAGGATGAGGCTTCAATTTGTCGATCCAACTCCGGCTCCATACTATCATCACTCATACACAAGACCATAGATAAACAGTARATAAAGCCTAGATAAGTCATCCCCGCTGTTGGCCAATGGAGACAGACGTCCTCACATATATAAATACGTATATATATGTATGTATACTGTATGTATGTGCTTCCAGAATCTGGTTGTCTGCAGAAAAGTGTGTAGCTTTAACCAGGACAAATTTGTGTACAAATAAAGACTGATTTTGATGTTTGTTTTGTTTTTCTCTGAGTGTAGACTGTTATTCAAAGAAACCCTGTGCAGTTATGTATACCTACCACAGTGGGAGGGGGTTTCCCAGAGCTCAATGCCTACAATGGGCCCTTTAGAGCAACTGACTCCTAAACCGATGCTGTTTAAAGCTCTACCTACAACAGATAAGATAATATTTGCTTATAACTTTTCCACAGAACCCCCACTTCAAGAGATCTAAACTTTAATGCATTCAACATGATATAGTTGCTCCATATTTTAGTCTGATCTGATTTATAGCACCCTAAGGGTGAACTTCACTGGACTGACACAATAAACTCACTTCTGAGATTKTCCGTGACACTTGTGGTTATTACATACATCATGTCTGAACTGTTGTGTATGAGCAGCAGTGTGAGCGTGTGTGACCCTCAGTGGGAATGTTCAGGCTGGCTCTTCTCAGCGTATCTCCCTGCCAGCTCCTGTTCCGTTCCAGTACTTCAGGAAACCTGCGCTCCAGCTGAGAAGGCCTGGCAGACACAACACAACAGCCTGCGAGCGGGAGGGGCATGAAACTGAGAAAATGAGAGTGGCAGAGGCACCGAGACACAAAGGCCGAGTCCGAGGCAAACAAAACAGAGGACATTGGGTTCAGGGTACCAGAGCAAGAGGGGGCAGAGCAGGGGGCAGCAGATATTTTTGATTCAGAAGAGGGAAAATAGTGAGCAGAGAGAGGGGAGTGGGGGGCATTTCATGGATGGTAGGATGGCAGAGAGAAAGCTGAGGAGCAAAAATAAAGGCTGACCAAGTAACCAAACTGCAACACGGGGAGGGAGCAGACAGGAGAGAGCTTTAAACAGAGAGYGGGTGAAATTAGGGGATTTGCAGGTGCAGCTTGAACATGGAGTGACCTTAATGGTGCGTTAAATACAGCTGTTGCTTCTCCAGACTTTTCTTCAATCCCCACACATTCAGCTGGACCGCAGCGCCTCAGTTCCCACAAAAAGAAGAGGAAAATATAGCCTGAGGAGAACGGCAGAGCAGGGAAGGGGAAAAAAATAAACTCATGAAGACAGGTTGTGAAAAGTGACAAAAGCAACATCGAAGGAAATTTATGCGCCTCGGTGGCGAAAAATAGAAGTGACTGCATGTGGTTCCAGGACGACAGATCAGATAAGAAGCACAGATAAAACAGGGGGGGGGGGGGGGGCCAGAGAGTTCTGTTGACTCTATCTTTCTGATTTTGTCAATATTAGTGAAGTGTAAAGACCCGATAAAAATGTGTGTAGCTAAACAGCTATGTGAGGATCAAGATGTGGATAGATAACATTTTTCAAGTTTGTGATGCAAAAACTGGAGAGACGAGAGAGAGAGAGAGAGAGAGAGAGAGAGAGAGAGAGAGAGAGAGTACGCTGTCAAAATGGTGTTTAAGATAACAATAGAGCTTGAAGTCCAAAACAGGAACCCTCTGTTTCCTGAGCTGGAGACAAAAGCTGAGTGCTGTGTTGTCATTAGATCTCTGAGTTAAAGGGATTTTTTTTTTCCTTTTAAATGGGTTTATGTGAAATGCATATGAGAAATTAATATCTTACCTGCAGAAGTTGAGGATCAAAGTTGCATTATTTATAATTATTTAATAACACAAAGACTGGTCGATGTGGCTTAAAAATGTATCATGATATAAGCTTCATATCGTTCATTATCAATATTTTTTTTGTTTCATCTATTTGAAATAAGAACCAGGAGAAAAAAAGGCTGATTACTGCCAAACCGGTAATGTGACCTTTCCTCTTTTATCCACAATGGCCTCTTGAGCTGTTGCACTCATTTTCTCCTTTCACTCTATGTCGTTATTTTGTATTTGTATATTTTTGGGACATGGTGGTGAAACTGCTGCTGTGCATGTTACTCAACAGGTTGTTGCTAGCTTAGCAAAMAGTGAGTGAGCTAACTGTTGCCACCAATCTTAGCTGGGCTGTGAGAGGTCGAGCAGCTATGGCCTTTCCTCTGCCAGAATACTGTGATTCTGGATCAYAGTTCAGTGAGCTTACCGACAATTCATTGGACACATTATCCATTGATATCGATCGCAGATCTATCATGATATACATGGTTGTTGTTTTCTATTAATACTGATTATATGTCTATCACAATATAAATTGATAAATTGTTTTTGAATTATGAATTTTACATCGTGTGATATAGCATAAATTTACACATAAGGTTTGACCTAAACAGGTGCAAATCCACAATTTATCAACACAAGTCTTATTTTATCATGGTGGTATAAAAGTCATCAAGCGGCATGAATGCATTCAAGGAATGCTAGTTCTTTTAATCTGCTTGGGAAATTCCAAATAATTTGTGGTCAGAAAAAAAATACCAACCAAAATACCTCAGACCTAAAAATAGTTCTGGTTTAAGAGGGTGCTTTATTTGAATTATACCTGTCCCATACAAATTTAGCACAAAAAGTGAGGAAATTTGTGTTTGGTTGATTATTTATTTGTTGTAACGATGCTTCTTGGCAATAAYTCTTGTACTGTTGGAAATGCTCATAATTTCTCTTTTAAATGATGCCACATTTGTAAGGATCATGCATTTGTGGGGTGAGCAGTAGAGCTGAGTAAGTGGGTTGTGCACATSAAAAAATAGCCAATTCTCTGCCAAACAGCTTATTTTGCTTTTGCTGTTGATAGTTGTTTTGAGCTTCTGGAACCCCCAAGGTGCTGCCAAGCAGGTGCCCACCATGATTTATTACCAATAAGCAAAAAATGTACCAAACACAAATGTCCTTTCTTTTCTGTTATGAGTATGTAATTGTCTGATACCAGATTTGTCAGATTATGTTGCATGAAAATGAAGAAGCTTCTTTACGCTGCAGAGTTTAGTCATTGTAGACAAATCAGGACTGAGAGTCCTTTGGTGTTTCTCATCAAGGGCCGTGAAAACTTTTACATTTGTAAACAGGCACCTGATAAATATCCACAAGCCAAGCTCACTTAGTGACAGCAGTAAGTATGAAATATCCAAGATAATAGCTGTGGGATCCATGTGCTAACTAATGATGTCTCGGGTCACTCAAACTGCCGTAGGGTCAAAATGTGGTCA